TGACAATGAAAAAAAATAACAACACCTATTTTCTCCCCTGATGAGGAGTTTTACAACATCGGCTTCCAGTGGTGCAACCAGCTCGGGGATGTTGCAGGGCACATGAAGAGAAAGGGATAGTTTTCGACAACTCGGCAAGGCGGACGGCTTGCTGTGACCCTGGAATTCTAGTCTCCGACAAGACGGACGATGGAAAGGGGAAGTGCCGAAGAAAGTACACAAAATTGCACATAAAAATATGGAGGGGAAGAGTGAGGCTGTTTTAATTATTCTTCCATTTAAAATATTGGAAATCAAATGAGAATAATAAAGAATGGTCCATTATTAATTTGTCATAACAAATTGAATTTGTGATGCAACACTTCACTACATAGTGTATGATGGAGCTTGGGCCATTAATCCCTTATAAACATTATTGTCATGTCAACATAGTTAAGTTACGAAGGAGACAAATTATTGATCCATTATAAAAGTCCTTAGTCAAACTCATGTCTTCTGCTCCAACGACGGATCAACCGATCAACAAGGCCCCGTCATTCTGGTCGCGATTCAATCTTCTTCAAAAACATTTTCAGTCCGTTCCCATAGTCCTTGCAGCTGATAGATACAAGTTATGTTATCTTCAAATAAGGTGATCGGAGGCTCCTTATTAGACCATAATTCACATGACCATCTTTGCGTACCGAATTGCACTTCTTTGGTATACGCATTCTTGACTAGCTTCATGAATGGCTAAGATCTCTGCATGATTAGACGATGTTGCCATAAATTTTATTTCATGGAGCTCCATGAAACTGCAGTTCCTCCACATATAGACACATATTCAGTTTGTGATCGTCCTTTGTGAGGATTAGACAAACAACCAAATCTTTTTTGGACATATAAGATATTAGTAGACTTAAGTCTTTCATACCCTGTCTTTGCATTAGAGAAAACTATATCTTGCTCATAAATACACAACAAATGATATATCGAGTCTAGTGTGATTTGCAAGATACACTAGTTCTCTTATTACACTTAGATATGGTACTTCTAGATTAAGAATATCATCATTATCTCCACTTGATTTAAAGGTGTCCATATAAACTTCAAATTGTCTTGCAATCAGTAGAGTGCTTAAAGGATGTGTTTTTTTTAAAGGAAATGATGTGTTTTATTCATCAAATATCTATTAAACACATCCTCTATATAGGTTGTTTGATGCACAAGGATACCATTCTTTAAGTACGTAGTCAATTTGTATCCCAGGGGAGTATTTGGTCTTTTCAAGATCCTTCATTTGAAATTCTCCTTGAGCACTCTAGTACCTCTTTTAGTTGTTCACGAGTTCCAATTATATTTAGATCATCAACACATATTGCAATAAGTACGAATTCCTCACCATATTTCTTACTATGCATGTACATATATCACCATTTTTATACCCCATTTTTAATAAATATTTGCTCAAATACACAAATATGTTCAATCTAATGAAGTATTGTTCTCGAGGACCTTCATTACATAATTCTAGCACCTTAACTCTTCTAGACGTCTCATATGTATATTACTGTCAAGTGAGCTATATATAGGTCATTACTGCATTCATGGTGCGCAAATCAAGTCCTTCACACACACACACACACATTTTGGTTCAAATAAGAACATGATCTTAGAAGAGAAATGAGAATGAATCTGGACCGTTAGATTTGTTTAAGTGAAATTCAATGTGCATTAGATGAAACAATAACTGAATTAGGTGAAATTGAAATGTGTGGCACAAAGAGTACGATACAATGCCATTATGTGAAGCTATATTATGCATTAGGTGAAATTAAAATGTGCACTGGGTGAAACTGAAATGTGCAGAATAAAAGGTACGATGTGATGTTATTTTTGTACCTTTTATTCCTCACATTTCAGTTTTATCTAATGCACACTTGAGTTTAAATTTTTATTTTGCACATTTCAATATTATCTAATGCACATTTCAGTTTCACCAAATGCACAATTCAGTTCCACATAATACAATTCAACATATTTTTTTTATTTGTGACTCATTTGTTCTGCGCACCAATGCATACTATTTGTATCATTTGCATCTCAAATGAGTGGATTGATGTTTCATTAAAAATAGAATCAAAGATTTGTGATTGAATTCCATAAATTTCCATTAGCATTATATCGCACTACGTTCATTGAGGATTGTTGAGGTAATTGTAAATATTCTCTTTATGTGATAAAACTGATGGATGCTTCATATTTTATCTTATTTAGGTTATCAAACCCTTGGAGTCACATACTCTTTGAAGGATCTAGAGGCAAATGCTTTGGAAGGCTTGGTATATATCTTCATAAAAATAATGCCCCTAAAACCTAATTAGGAAATTGCTCAAAATAGGACAAAAACATTAATATTTATTACATTGAATACTTTACAGATCCATTTTTTAAAATTTTCTTCCTGCGTGAGTTTTAGTGTTATGTTAGAGAAATAACACTAAAACAAAGGTAGTACGTAGTAATTAAATGTGTGTGTATATTCACCATAGATAATAATAATATTCCGTATTAATTAAATGTGTGTAAATTCACCATAGAGAATAATAATATTCGGTATTAATTAAATGTGTGTGTATATAGAGACTAAAACAAAGGTAGTACGTAGTAACATGTTTAACGGTTACATTTGTAAAAGTTCCCAATTTTTGATGTATCGATTTCTCATTAATTTTAAAACAAAACTTGAAGACTATAGGATCAGAGTATATTTTACTGGAAGAGAGTAGTATATATGCATGGTAAGATATATGTGTTGATTCAAAGTATGTGAGCAACTATTTAATTATGCAGAAGACTAGAATCAAAGAAGCAAAGAAACTCTCATAATTTATTGATCAATAAAATAAGCCTTTCATAGGCATTACAAAGCTCAACTAATATTGCATGTAATCCTCAACCAATTCCTAAGTTTGAGGCATATCCACACGTTTGAGTAGAGGATAACAACACTCTCAAAAAACTCCTACAAATAAGTTAACAATAAAAACTTATTAACTAAATATAATAATGAATAAATAATAAGTTTCCAAGTAGGCATGGCCTTGAACAATTCTGTATGCAAGCTTGAACAATTCTGTATGTAGGCTTGTTTTTAAGAACTAAACAAAGTTCATGAAAAGCCTTTTAAAGTTGTTTTAAGCAAACATATATATTGAGCTTTATTTCATTTGTTGCCACAAAATACCTGGGGGGAAATCCCAAGATGTGCTAACTTGCATCTCTGTTATGGGGTACAATAATGAAGGCAGAGGACGTGCAATATTAGTCACTAGAATACTATATTTACCAAATTTGTTTGATTTCAAATCACGATCTAAGATAAACATTGGACTTGTACCTATTATAAACTTACAATGCCCGTATTTCCTGGAAAAACATCTAAGCATTTAAGTAGACATCATGCATAAGAACATAGGACGAAATTCTATTCCTTCATGAAGTAAACATCCAAGTATTTCACCAAATAACAATATCTTGAAAAATAGTACATCAATAAACGAGTTGGTAGGGGCCCGAAATCCAAATGTTCTATTTAAGTACTGGTATTCTTACCCGTGCGATGCACGGCCGAAATAGAGAGCCTAGTATTAATTAAAAGAAGAATGAAATCTAAAATGATACATTAAAACTTTTACAATAACCACTTCGACCAGGCCCGTGTCCCCCCGTTCCGCCGGCCGCAATGAGGATAGCTGGTTCCGCCGTGTGACCTGCCCACATCCTTTGCAGAAGAGCCTGGGTCGAGGACTTCAGTTGACTCAGTCAACAATTAAAAGTCCCGCTGGATTCTTTGGGCTAAGGGGGAACTAGTGGGCCAGGCCATGTATGGTCAAACTCAATAATTCAACAGGCCTCAATTTCAGCAACATATTTCAGCCCAAGCAGTTCAATATTGCAGCCCACTCCAAAAAGCTAAGTACTCCAAACTATCCTATTTACACATTTAAATAGTAGTAATAATAATAACAATAATACTAATATTGTTATTATTATTAGTTTATTATTATTATTATTATTACCATTATTATGGAGTACTATTATTTTCATTATTATTATTATTAGTATTATTATTAGCACTATTACTAATTGATAGTCTCATTTCCTTTTTTGGAAAGAAACATGTGGTTTTCATCATTTCACCTTTTTCTACTCAAATATCAACCACAACTTTACCTTTTCAACCACTTTTATTAAAACTTGTGACCAAAAGAAATGAGACTCTCATTTTGGGACGGAGGTAGTACTACTACTACTACGGTTGCTATTATTAATATCATTTTCATTCCCTCGAGCAGACCAAAGTCCCTCGAGGTGGGGTGACAGTACGAGCCAAGGTTCGTGCTCCTCAGCACATCGCCCGATTATTTTTATTACTCCCCCGTAACACTTATATCTTCTCACTTTTCCTTTTTAGCCGTAACATTCATATCTTCCCATTTATAAATTTTCTTATCATACCCTCAATAATTTAAAAATAATACACTATTACAACCACTTTTTTTAGATTTATCCTTCATTTCACCACATTATTTCATCACCTTGTTACCGTACTCTCAATAATTTATATCCCCTTTCACTATTCTTAATCTGATCTACTTTCAAATGGGAAGATATATATCTGTTATGGAGGTAGTAAATGATTTGGGCTTGATTTGGGTCCCTCGACCTAGTCTCGGTGATCTTTATTTGATTACCGGGGCGCCTCCAAAAAGCCGTCACCCTAATGACATACCGAGCCAAGCTTTGGGCCCTTCGACCCATCTTCGATTATTTTTATTAAATGATCCGAGCTTGCTTGAGGTCCCTCGACCTAGCCGAAAACAGTTTGGTTCGACCAAACTGAACCAAACCGAAAATTTGGAGTTTGGTTTGATTTCAATTCTCTAGAATCATCCGTCTGGTACTAATATTTACAACCGGAATGGTCGGGTCCGGTTTGGTTATAAACCGAAATACCAAATAAACGGGACAGTATGATTCATTGTGCGGGCAATCGGGTAAACTCACTTTGAAGCTCTCTCTCTCTCACTTAATTTCTTAAACTCCTCACAGCTTGAAATCTTGGGTGGACGGGTGGTCTTTGGATGCTTTTCCGGTAACGACAATCATCCCTTTCTTTTTTTAATTGACCTGCACACTTTTTTATATAGTGCTAATAAAGTATAATTCCTCTTGGTGAATTCATAAAGTTTGATTTTCGTTGGGGTTATGAATCTCTGTTTTAATGAGTATATGAAGTAGCTAACTGTAACCAATTCAGATATCTTCCATTTTGTTTTTTCGTCGTCGTATGATTCGGTGTGCGAATTTAGTGGGTTTGTTAAAAGTGGGTCTATGAAGTTTGGTTTATCACGTATCCTTAACGTTAGCTTATCAATTATTAATGTATCCCAATTTCATTGGGTGTGTTTCGAAAAACTAAGAAAATAATTAATAAAATTAATTAAATAAAATGACTTAAAGGAAAACGAGAAATGAGATGAAGCAGAATAAGCCAAAGCTCGTGCCACGCACGATTTCCTTAAAACGTATTCGTCGCCTCCCGGGGTGCTAGGAGCGTTGCAACGATCGTTTCCCAGGATACGATGACTAACGAACAATAGTTTAGCACTCAAACTAAAGTTCCAACGAACGTGAACAAAGTAAGAAACTTAGGAATTTTTCGGAGTGACTGGAGGTGTATTTGAGCTAGAAAAACACGTGAAGTTCGTATTGTGTGTTGTGTATTGTTGCAAATCACCTGCAGCCATTTATAGGGAAGATTTGTTGTGTGTTTAATGGAGGTTTAATGGATATGAACGTTGGTAATCAAAGTCCAGCACGTTGGCATTGATTCTAGTCCAAAAAACCGTCCATTTATTGCAAAGGAACGTTGGGCATTTATGGAGTTGTAACGTCCCAGCAGTGGGCTGCGGCAGACGTCTCAGCAGTAGGCTGCTGCGGACTGTCCTGCCGGCAGCAGGCTGCTGCCGACTATCCTGCCGGCAGTGGGCTGCTACCCCATTTCAACGGGCAAACTTCGAAAATCGATATTTCATTCACCCGTTATCCGTTTTGAGTGTACCACGTATCGAATTGTAGCCCTTAACAAGGACAATCCGAAACCACTTTGACCCGACCCGAATCGGAAGTGGACCCCACTCAAAAAATTGCCCCAAAATGACCATTTAATGCAATTTACTAACACATTTTCCAACAATCCCCCACATGAATGAAAATTGATTTTCGAGACTTAAAAATGACACGAAGATAGGAGGACACGTTGTGTTCACCGGATGATCCTTGCATGCGGAGAGGTAGGTTTAATCCTTTGAACCTTCCGCTGTAAAGACACGTTTATTTACTGGCTGTCTAGTAGACTCGATGTCTTTGAACTATACTGCCGTCGTGTAAACATTGACTTATCTTTACACAAGAACCTTCCAACTTTGTTCCGTTCTCATGGGTGTGCCCGTTTTGGCCATGGGTCACCGTCCTGGTTCTGCAAGAGTTTCTAAAGAACTGAGCCTTTACAGTTCTCCTTTGAAGCGGCCCTCTTCTCTCTCACATAGGTGATTCTTTCACGAGTATCCCGCATACTCTTCCAATGTTATCGTGTAGATCAACATTTTAGAATCATTAAAGCAAACATTTTTGCTAACCTCGTGCGGGAGTCACTGTTTCAACGAGGAGTGGGTAGGAGTCCGGGACCCCCACAGTGACTATCCTTCGCTCTATAATTTAGTTGTCCCATTTGAACCTAGGACCAACTAGGTTGGGTATCCACTATAGAACTTTTCAATTCACGGGCTTTAATCCCATTCCTCGTGACAACTTCTCCAACAATTCTCTATCCAATGCCTTGGTTAGCGGATCCGCTATGTTATCCTTTGACTTCACGTAGTCAACAGTGATAACACCCGTTGTGAGAAGTTGTTTAATGGTGTTATGTCTACGACGGACGTGCCTAGACTTACCATTATAGAGATTGCTCTGTGCCCTTCCAATTGCCGCTTGACAATCGCAATGTATGCATATTGGAGGGACAGGCTTCTCCCAGCTTGGAATATCCTCGAGAAAATGGCGTAGCCATTCAGCCTCTTCAGTGCACTTATCCAAGGCTATTAGCTCAGATTCCATCGTGGATCTAGCTATTAACGTTTGTTTCGAGGACTTCCATGAAACGGCTGCACCCGCCAAAGTGAAAATATATCCACTTGTGGACTTTGAGTCCTTAATGTCAGATATCCAACTAGCGTCGCTATACCCTTCAAGTACAGCTGGATATCTTCCATAGTGCAGTCCAAGGTTTTGGGTTTTTCGTAAATACCTCAAAACTCTTACTATTGCCTTCCAGTGTTCATCACCGGGGTTGCTAGTATATCTACTTAGCTTACTAACCACAAAGGCAATATCAGGCCTGGTACAACTCATTAGATACATTAAACTGCCAATAATCCTAGCGTATTCTACTTGAGAAATACACTCTCCACGATTTTTGGTCAGGTGTACGTTTTTATCTAACGGCGTCCTTGCTTCTTGATAATCATCCTTATTAAATTTAGTAAGGATTTTATCAACGTAATGAGATTGGCTTAGCGTAAGACCGTCAAGTCCTCTAATTATTTTAATCCCAAGGATTAAATCGGCCAGCCCCATATCCTTCATGTCAAATTTAGAATTTAACATGTTTTTGGTAGAATTAATCATTAGATTATTGCTACCCACGATGAGTATATCATCCACGTATAAACATAAAATGACATAGCCGTCTACCGTGCTTTTCACATAGACGCATTTGTCACTTTCGTTTATTTTAAACCCATTAATTAACATTGCATGATCGAACTTTTCGTGCCACTGTTTAGGGGCTTGTTTCAATCCGTACAATGATTTAATTAATTTACAAACTTTCCTTTCTTGGCCAGGAACACGAAAACCCTCGGGTTGTTCCATATAGATTTCTTCGTCTATATCACCGTTTAGAAAAGCGGTTTTTACGTCCATTTGATGAACTTCCAAATTCCGCAAAGCGGCAATTGCTAGTATCATCCTAATGGAATTTATTCTCGTCACAGGAGAATATGTGTCAAAGTAATCGTGGCCCTCACGTTGCTTGTATCCTTTGATTACAAGTCTGGCCTTATACTTGTCAATGGAACCGTCCGGTTTCATTTTACGTTTAAAAATCCACTTGGATCCCAAAGGTTTACATCCCGGAGGGAGATCAACCAATTCCCATGTGTGATTTTTTAGGATAGAGTCCACCTCACTTTTGATGGCTTCTTTCCACATCGGTCCTTCGGTAGACGTTACGGCTTCCGTATAAGTCCGTGACTCATTTTCTACCAAACATGTTAGAAAATCCGGTTCATTTTCTACCATACAAGTTAGAATATTCGAATCGAATTCTACCAAGTATGTGAGAAAATCCGGTCCGAAGGATTTTTCAACTCTAGCACGTATGCTACGTCGGGGTTCGGCTTCTTCACCGGATCCCTCGCTAGTATTTTCCATAGCTGCGTCAAATGTTCGTTTTGACGTGCTAGGTCCATCGTTGGACTTGCATGGAAATACGTCTTCAAAGAATGATGCATTTCTTGACTCAATTATTGCGTTTTTATGTACATCCGGATTATTCGAATCATACACTAAAAACCGATAAGCACTACTATTTTGTGCATATCCAATAAAAATACAATCCACCGTTTTTGGACCTATTTTTATTTTCTTTGGTGTCGGTACAAGCACCTTAGCAAGACACCCCCGCACTTTCAAATATTGATAGGAAGGCCGTCTGCCTTTCCACAACTCGTATGGAGTTTTATCATATTTTTTCCGGGGAACCTTATTTAAAAGGTAATTGCTTGTTAAGATCGCTTCGCCCCACATATTTTGTGGCAGGCCCGAACTTACTAGCATCGCATTCATCATATCTTTCAATGTGCGATTCTTTCGTTCGGCAACACCGTTTGATTGAGGTGAGTAGGGTGCGGTACGTTCATGTACTATACCTACACTAGCACAAAAGTCACCAATTGGTGCTTCATACTCACCACCTCGATCACTCCTAACCGTTTTAATCCGTCGATTAAGTTGGTTTTCCACTTCATTCTTATAAAGAATAAATTTATCGATTGCTTCGTGTTTATTTTTCAACAAATAAACATAGCTATAGCGAGTGCTATCATCGATAAAAGTAATAAAATATTTATTACCGCCACGTGTTTGTATTGATTTAAAATCACAAACGTCACTATGAATTAATTCTAGTGGTTCCGTTTTTCTTTCAACCGATTTGAAAGATGTTTTCGTTAGTTTTGCCTCGACACAAACATCACATTTGTGCTTCACATCAATTGTGAATTTAGGAATGTGTTCCATGTTAATTAATCTACGTATAGAATTAAAATTAACATGTCCTAGTCTACCATGCCACACATTGGAAGACTCAAGCAAGTAAGCAGAAGAGATTTTATTATTATTATTATTAATAGTCATTACATTGAGCTTAAACAGCCCGTCACATGCATATCCCTTGCCCACATACATTCCCGACTTGGACAAAACTAATTTGTCCGACTCAAAAACCATGCGGAAGCCATGCTTGTTCAACAAAGAGCCCGAGATCAGGTTTTTGCGTATCTCCGGGACATACAACACATTGTTGAGAGTCAGCTCCTTGCCCGAAGTCATCTTCAGGACCACCTTGCCCACGCCTTCCACCTCGGAGTGAGCAGAATTTCCCATCCACACCTTCTCACCGTTTGATGGCTCAAAGGTCGTGAATAGCTCCCGGTTAGAGCAAATATGCCGGGTAGCACCGGTGTCCACAAACCACTCCTTGGAATTGGATCCAACGAGGTTGACTTCCGTCACCACGGCCGCTAGGATGATGTCTTCATCCTTTTGCCAACCTTGCACCAAGTTGACGTGAGAATCTTTCTTCCTCTTTGGTGCCTTGCAATCCGAGGACTTGTGTCCATTTTTATTGCAATTGAAGCATTTTCCATTGAACTTTGTCTTGGAAACGCCTCCCTTGGGACCGAGCTTGCTCTTCCCATTATTTTTATTTTTGGAGCTTTTTGCATGCTCCACCACGTTGGCCTTGGCGCC